AATTTCTCTCCACATATATTTCATACCAATTTTCCATTTTTAAAAAATATATATAATTAAATTAAATTGAAAAATAATTCCGAGCAATTAATGATAGCATATGATCATTCAGATCTACATTTATTTTTATATTCATCTTTATATTTGTATGCATTTTATTTTAATTTATAAGTTCTACGCAAAATTTAAGTAAGTTTCGTCTTAATTTTTAATACTGATAAAGTTTAGAGAAGAATTCAAAAATAAATAGAGTCGAAAGGGGAAGGTGTAATGAAGGGATAAGAATGGTAATCCATGTGGGAAGGGCGTTAGATGGACCCTAACATCTCCATCTCCATCTTAACCTATTAAATGAGTTGTGGGGGCTCAATTTGGATGGGACATTACTCAATCGAGCCCCGACTTTATTTATGTATAAATATGGTACGTTATTTGGTTATCTTATATTCTATATAATTCTATATTTAGTTCATGAATAATTACTTTTTTATTTTTTAAAAAAATTTGTGGGAAGGGACACTCGGTGAAAGATGGGGATGGGGCTAATGGAGGCATCTATATGGTCAATATGATGATACAATTGTAAGGTATCAAATCAATCGGTTTGAACTTTATTTGTTTGAAGGTGATCAACATGCTTCCATTTTCTTCCCGTCATGTATCTAACAATACCATTCAAATCAACGTTGTATTGAATTGAACATCGATATGAGATCTTTTGAGAAAGCTAAAAGTAAAGTCACGAGCGCTTATACTCAACGTGGATAATATCATGCTATTGTGAACGATGGTGGTTCTTAATATGATATCAAAAACATACTATTGTGAAGGGTCGTGGTTCTTAACAATGATAAGATTTAAAAGGCGAACCGAAAGCGAAAAAAAAGAGCAATGACTTTGGAAGGAATATGGCGAAAGTCTCACATGGTGATGCTTGGGGATATTGAAATATGATACACACAAGATTTGCTCTCTTCTCTACAAATATATTTCAATAAGCTTCCAAAACAAAAGTGTCGAAGTCTTAGTTTTCTCAATCTTCAATTGGGGAACCAATCAGAAGTTGACACTTGTCAGCCCCCAAAACCCTAAATTAATTATTGAACTTGGTGAGACAAAGAGAGGGCCCTAATTTCACACATCTCCCAAACCCTCAAAACTCCCCATCTTTATGCTCAATTATTAATGCACAATTTTCCATCCTTTTTTATTTATTTTAACTTTATGGGATGATTTAATTTTACCCTTTTCACTTACCTTTGTGCTTCAATTCTTCTGTACTTACAATTCATTTCAAGATCTCATCTTTTATATTCATATGATATCTTGGTCAAGTTTAATTATTCATTTATTGACTTTTGTGAAAGTTTATCGAGTATTGATATGATGGTTTTTGACTTCATTTTTTAATGTGAATATATGAAAATTAAACCAAACCAATCAACTATGATTTGATTTCTTTACTTCCGTCGAGTGGCTAGTTAGTGGAAGGGATATTTTTAATTAGTAGTATTATATTCAAGAAGCAAGAGGAGACTCGTATGAACATAATTAAACTAATATAAATATTATCTCGATCCATAGATCAAACGTTTAAATCTATAAGGTTGAGAAAGAAAATTATGGAATATGGTAAATTATATTTTATTTAATTGTTTATATATTTAAAGATTTTGTGTACTGTCGAGGTCGAGGGAGATTGCCATAATTTGATATGAGAAGTTTCATGTTGATTTTGAGGGAAGAGACAACACTTGCTGAAAAGAATGAATTTTCGAAACTCGAAATTGTGATTTTAATTTGTTGAGCGTAATTCCTTTTTTTTTTTCATTCATATATTAATGTGATTAATATAAATTAATGTATTGAAGCTATAAAGGTTTAAGACATAATAAAGTGGAAGGATGGATGATGTGTACATAATATAAAACATTAATTAATAAAGAGAAATGAAAAAGGAAAAGGAAAAAAGAAAAAAAAAAATGAAGTTTTCTCCCTCGATCTCTCTCCTATCCTCTCCCATATTCCGTTTTATTAATCTCTCTCCCAGATTTTCTCTTTCCTTCGACTCTCTCTCCTCTGAGAGGTTGACGAAACAAAGAAACTGAATTTATTAAAAGGAAAAAAAAAAGAAAAAAAAAAAAGAAAAGGAGATGAGGAATAGCATAAGATGCTGCATATCTTGCATTCTACCATGTGGAGCTTTGGATGTGATCCGCATAGTACACTCCAATGGCTACGTCGAAGAAATCAGCGGCTCAATCAAAGCCTCCGACGTCATGAAAGCCCATCCCAAACATGTCCTTAAGAAGCCCTCCTCCCCCTCATCCTCCGCCGCTTGCTCCGATGACGCCTCCGCCCTCCCCAAGATCGTCATCGTCCCACCGGAAGCTGACCTCCAACGCGGTAAGATTTATTTCCTCATGCCACTCCCTCCCAACCCTGACAAGCCTCGCTCCCGATCCTCCTCCCGAAGAAAGAAGAGAGTTACCAATAACAACAATAAAAACAATCATCACTCCGACCGAACACCCCCCGCCGCCGCCTCCGCCGCCGCATCGGCCACCGCCGATTCCGACGACGACAACAACAACAACAACAACTCCATTTCCATGTCCAACCTCCTCGTTTCCGACCAGTACCTCTCCGAAATACTCTCCGAGAAAGCCTCCACCCACCGCGAACGGCGGCGAGGCCGTGTCGGCGTCTGGAGACCTCATTTAGAAAGCATTTGTGAGTCACCCAGCGATGTCTAATAACCGGCTACTCAGGTTGTGGGTCTTTTTCTTTTCTTTTTTTTTTTTTTAAACATAAAACCATATATAAATATATATATCATCATAATTAAATTCCATTTCTTCAATATCATGATCATTTCTTCATATCCAATTTCACCAGATTGATTGCAGAGAGAAGGATCTGAAATTAAGAATGTGGTAAATTTAATTTTTTACTAATCTATTTTTCTGGAAATTTGTGGATTTTTTAATGCAGTAGTGCAGAATTTATTTTATTTTAAGCATAGTTTAATTGATATAAAATGTATATTATTTCTGTGCATGAACATAATTTTGAGTGATTGTGATATGATGATGATTGTACAGCTGCAATAATATACTTTCTCTGCCCATTTTTATGGACCATATGCCATCATTTTTTCTTTCCTATTTTACACTTAATAATAATCTAACCTCTATATTTCAAATATATTTATACATTTTTATAATATTTTTTACTATAGAATAAAATAATATGTATGGATCGTATCAATCTCTCGGCCCCATTGGATTTTTTTTTTTGGTAAATTTCAAAGAGGCAACCAATATTAGAATTAAATCAGGAATTTTCTTTTTTCCTGATTTTCTGCATTTCGTATGAATTAAATTAAATATTTTAATTAATCAGCATTATGGTTTTTATCGAACCCCACAAGCCTTGGTCATTTAAATGCCATTAACTATCCTATCACTTTATACGTGGGCCTCTCCACCATAATATTTAATTCTAATTGTTATGCCAAATTTTAGGATTATAAAAATCGCATTTCTTTATTTAAAAAAAGTCATATGCCTTTATGCCAGTTTTTTTTTTTTTTTTTTTTAAATTTATTTTTATATTAATATTTGTATATATTTTATTAAAAAATTTCATTACTTTTGAACGTAAAAAAAAAGATAAGATATGTTAAAAATAAGTGAATGATTTTTTTTGAGACAATAAGAGGAAATGATATATAGTCACACTCTTTTGAGCCCCACATCAAACATAAAAAAAGGTTGTCATCATAATTATTTTATGATTATGCCATTATAGATTAACTATAACACTCCATAATTTAATTATATTAATTAGACTATGGTTTTTTTTTATTAGATTTGTCAAGTGTTTAAATTACAAGTGGGAGGAATTTGGTAGGTGAAAATAAATTTGAATTTCCATTATTTATTTATTTTTTTTGTAAAATTATGGTTCTCATATTCTTTTCTTCGTGCACTTGACTCGAAGGCTCCAATGTTTGTGTTTAAAGGTTGAATCTTTTATCTACACGCTTTTATCGAGAGATATTCTCGAGTTAGTCTTTGATTTATTGATCTTGTGAATCCTTAGTTTATTGTGCTTTTCTAAAAGTTGATATAAGTCTTAAAGTTTTGTAGTTTTAAATATTCAGTACTAGAAAAAAAACACGTGTCATTTTTGGTGAACGAGTAATATATATATATATATATATATATATATTTTGTGTTTAAATTCTGATTTAAAGACACTTATTTAATCTATAATTACGCCAAAATTAATATTATGTAATGATTAATCGAATTTTGTAACTAATATTTTGTGCAGAGAATTTTTCTCTGTTTGGGCCGTGGACCAGTATTGGCCTTCTAGGAGCCCAGGGTCCTGGCCCAATCCCGTATCAGGTTCCATTATTTATTTGTAGTTACACAAATAACTAATCGGAAAAAAAAAAAAAAAAAAAAACACACACACACACGTAAAGAAAATTGATTTTTTTTTTCTCTTTGTTGAAATTTTGGTAAAATTATTTAATAGTTAAAGTACGAACAATTTTACATTATTTTTTGGGTTAAAATTAGTAGTGAACAAAGTAGAAAATGAAGCGAGGTAAAACTTAATTAAATTTAGGATGAAATTTAATGAAATGGAAGTGGATACAAATAACAAAATTTAGAATTAAATTTTTCTTTTCCAAATAATAAGTAGTGTTATTTAATAATGAACAAAAATATCCGTAAAATAAAGAAAAATAAAAGAAAGTAGTTTTCCGGTGGCTGCAAATCCTGCATTTAATGAAATAAAAATAAAAAATAAATAAAAAGCAGGCGTAGAGTTAGTTGGGGCGGGGGGATCCACCGGACGAGAAACGACGACCGAAAAGAAGAGAAAAAATAAAAAATAAAAGTACAGGCAGGTGGAAGGGGGAAAAAAACGATAATGGGGAAAAAGAAAAAAAAGAAAAAAAAAAAAAAAAAAAAAAAAAAAAAAAAAAAAGGCGTCGACGGCCGGCCACGCGCTTGCCGCGTGAAATTCCACGTGCATCGTAGTCAATGAATGCCCGGCCAAAGGCACTCCCACGTGAACCCTCTCCGTTTCGGAAATTCCTTCTCCCGTGCCCGCTGGCCAGGCCGCAGTCTTCCCGCTTGTCAGCGACCCCACCTTCCCTCCTCACCGTCCGCTTTCTTTTGGGCCGAAGCCGAAGCCGAAGCCGAATCCGAGCCCTTCCGACACACTAACCAAACCATGACCCAACCCCCCTCCCGGTCCCGGCCCGCTTCCTTTTCGGTTCCCTATCCCTATCCGCTTCCCATTTCATCCCCGGCGATATCATCGCCGACGCTCCCTCTTTTATACCTCTTTTACCCATTCCCTTCGTCATCTTCTTCCCCTTCTCCTTCTCCTTCTCCTTCTCCTTCTTCTCTCCCTTGTCTCTCTTCTGAGTTCTGATGGGGGATCTCACCGATTCTCTCACCCCTTCCTCTGCTAACTCCCGCCAGGTTCCCATTCGCGAAGACTGTTGGAGCGAGGATGCTACCTCTACTCTCATCGACGCTTGGGGTCGTCGTTTTCTCGACCTCAATCGTGGAAATCTACGCCAGAAGGACTGGCAGGATGTTGCCGATTCTGTCAACTCCCTCCATGGCCTTACCAAGAAGACCCATCGCACCGATGTTCAGTGTAAGAACCGGATCGACACCGTTAAGAAGAAGTACAAGACCGAGAGGGCTCGGGTTGCTGCCTCCCATGGCAGTTTTGTCTCCTCTTGGCCCTTTTACGCTCGTCTTGATGAACTTATTGGCCCTACTGTCTCCATGAAGAAACCCTCCTCTCCTCCTATGGCTCTTCCTTTGCCCTTTCGGAAGACGCCACCCCCTGCCGTTGCTGCTACTCCTGCCGTCGTCGCCGTGTCTCAGAAGCGGACTGCCGCAGCGATGGACGACGGGTATTTTCGGAGAAATTACTCGGCTATAGCGGCTGCTGCTGCGGCGGCTGCATTGACGGAGGAAGAGGAGGACGACGAAGAGGAGGAGGAGGAGCGAGTGAGCGACGACGAGGAGGCGGAAGGGGAGGGCATGAGTAGGTTGGCAAGAGCAATTAAAAGGTTCGGGGAGGTGTATGAAAGAGTGGAAGCCGAGAAGGTCCGGCTGATGGTGGAATTGGAGAAGCAGAGGATGCAATTTGCCAAGGATTTGGAGGTACAGCGGATGCATATGTTTATGGAGACCCAAGTTCAGCTTGAGAGGATTAAGCGAGGGAAGAAATCAAATCCCAGTGGTAAGGCTAAGGGAACTTTCTGCTCTGTTTTCCCATTGAAATCGTTTTTTCTTTTAGCACGAAGCTGAAGTTTGCTCTGTTACAGATTCAACATTTCTTTCAGCGTATTCTGTGCTGACTGTCGTGGTAGATTTAGTTGATCTGATTGTTTTCTAGAATATCTTGGTTTTTGATATCTCTGGAATAGAATGGTTTCCCAAGAAATTCTACAACTTTAAAATAAACTACTAATTTAACCTGGCATGGTCACATTTCAATCTTCTTTCAGAAATGTTTGTAAACTTTTTTATTTTCTTTTCCTTCCATGGACCCACGAGATGATTCTTTAATTTTACTGGTGCTGGTGCCATGTAATTATAATATAGAGCTTATATCTGGATATGGGTTGTGATGAAGTAGTATGGCCTTGCTTATATCGCATAGCTACATGACCAACTCTTAATGATTAAGAGAAGTATGTGAGGGCTTTAGAGATTTTGAACATTTAGAAGTGTGCTTGAACAATTCAATACTGCATAAAGATCACTTGGGCACAAATTTTTTTTCTAGCTTTGTCTGAGTGGACGCCTAATTGTTCACTATGGTCACATTTACATGCAATTAGTGATCACTCTGAACTTTTCTTGGAGAGAATAGGTCCTGACTTGCAAGGCTTTTCAGCATACTACAAAGAAAAAAGTAAATGCAGTTATTCAGGTTTGAGGTGATCATGTTTTGGTATATTTATCATCTTTGAATGTTGAAAATTTGAATTGCAGAAAGAATCAGAGCATAAGAAAGGGAGAAGAAGTGAGGTAAAACGAGTATAATTGTGGTATAGTTTAATAGCATGAAGAAACAACCACCAGAAGAAGATCTGTACATGACTGGAAATAGAAATAATGAAATCCAATTCCGTTTGAACCCCCTACTGTTACTGATAAGAAAAAAAAAAAAAAAAAAAAAAAAAGAAATCTTCTTGTAAATCAAATTATACATTTCTAGATACCTCTTTGCCAGAGTATGGTGTGGGGGAGGGATCCAATTTGAAAGGGAGAGAGCCATTGCCTGAAAAAACTTCTCCGGGTGGATGGTTGCAGCCCAGCTTCAAGAGTGCTGACACTTATTAACGGTTTAATATACACATCATGTCTTTTTTCTGTGTTTCAAATAGATAATGTGTGGCTTGGAACAATGTTCTCATTCGTTTTTGCGAATTTAAGAACATTGGAATATAGGACTGATCCTAAGCATCAGAAACTGGGCGAAGTGGAGCCAAGTTCTGCTTTATTTTATATGAGCAAAGTGGTATTAGATTACTGGATTATCTCCTATGGCTAATTTGTTTGTCTTTGACTCATTTTTTTAACTTGGGTTTAGGTACTTAAAAGGATGATTCCTTCCTCAAAATTATACTATTGGATCATATAGTCCAATGTCAGTTTCCTCTGAAGATTATGAAACCAGCTCTCTTCTTCATTTCTGATGTAACATGTCATGCGTCCTCTCTTAATCTGTTCTTTGGTCTTCTTGGGTTTTACTTATGGGATTCAGGTTCATAAAATGATATAAGATTGTTATCTGCGAGAATCGCAAGTGTATAGGAACCCTGTTTCTTGAAAACTTCTTCTACTGTCAAGTTTGCGGTAGCTACCCTTATATTACTGGGGACAGTCATTTGATAATGTCAAGACATGCATATTCATAATCAACTGTCAAAGGGACAAGGTGACCAGAATTATGGGATAAAACATGCATGACATTTACTTGTACATTTCAAGTTACAGTATTGCCTTGATTGTTTACTTGTTGCATTTGTTCGAGTTTGAAATAACTGATTCCTGTGCTTTGCTACGCACAAACGTCGTTCATTTTACTTCGTGTGGTTTATGAAACTAAAAAGCATTTCTTTTTCTGATGCAGACATCTAGAGGAGGTAGCCGTGTGAGAGGGAATAACAGAGAAACTTCGTAAGGTACATACACACGGAAGCTGGTATTCTCAGGAGATGATAAAAACTTCTAATTTTAACTTCACAATATGGAAAATTATTTTGTGAAGCTAGCTAAGGCCAACCCCCTTCCCCTCCTCTCCTTGTGGGGGAAGTTAGGCAAACTGCTGTAATCGACTTTTAGATGTGAAGCTAATTTGTGACAACCTTTTATCTTCTAGTTTCAGAATTAGCGTGGTGGATACATTGAGCTTCTTAAAATATCCTATGCCTCGTTTTTAAAGATGTTGTTGGGAAAGCTAATCTGATATGAATGTTGTATACAGCTTTCCCTCATCTTCTCATGTGGTGTAATGGTAAGTGCTCTTGTTTCACTGAACAAATTGAGAAATGTGATAGTCTATCTATTATTACAAGGTGGGTGTTTCTTTTATACGTATTTTCATGCCTTATGTTACCTGGAAATACAAAAAATGTGGTCTTTGTTCATTATATTCTTTAGTGTAGATGTTTTCCAGACCATTTCATTTATTCAGTGATGAATGCGTAGATTGAAGGAAAAAAAGGAATGCAGAAAGACATCAGCGGGGCAAGCCCTTTATTCTTTGTACCAAGAGGAGAATTTGGTGTAGAGAACAGTGAGGTAAAATGTCTGCAGAAGATGCTATCGAGCGTGAGCGTTTTTGTTGACATGTTAACATTTTTATCGATATTTTTACATATTCGTAGGCTTGACATCGTTGATTTGTTCGATAAAACCTTGATTGTGATAGGGAGGTGGGTTCAAATTCATCTTTATGATTGGAGTTATCATCGAACATGTCATTTTATTGAATTCTCACCTCTAATATTACAATTCTCACCTTTGGATATCGTAACGACATGTTACAATTCTCACCTCTAAAATCTTAAATCTTGCAAAATATTTTTCAAACAACTTTCAAAGTTTAGGGTATAATTAAAACGTCGTTTATTAATCCTTGATTGTTAACATGCATTATGATCATTCTAAACTTTACATGATTAGTGCTCTTAAATTTAAAAGATTTCAATTGTCTCTACATTATAGATTAGATTCATATGAATATTCAATACAAAAATTAAGATATGACTCAAAATGATGAACACAAAAAGACATCGTCTTGAATGGGCATGTTGAGGATCTAAATTAGAAAGATTGAGAGACCTCACAATATCTATAAGACACGCGAGTTGTTTCTCTCTCAACATCAACGGAATCTTATATTTATCAAATAGAATTGACATGAAATGACAAACCTTTGGACAAGGTTAGTGGTATGTCATTTCCAACCCGTAGTCTAGAGTGTCCTTCACTTAAATAAATATGATGTTTTATACCTTTTTTTATTAGTCGTCGACATGAACCTTCGATTCATTCCTAATACAAAGATTTGCTATCTTTAAAAACTTTCGAGTTAAAATGGGACATTATTTATAAAATAAAATACAACGAAAATATACTTTATTATTAGAAAGTATTTAATCCTAATATTATAGTACAAAGAGTGTAAATACAAAATACCTCAACATTAAAGAATGCAACCAAAGCACGTATGATGTCACAAATTAATTATATATATAAAATAATAGGACAATAGAAAGGACATTTTTCATCTTAAATGTGAAGGGCAAAACAGTTGGTTTTCACACTCTAATATAGAATAATTTAAAAGTGAACCTAAACTTTGGGTTTTTTTTTTTTTTTTTTTTTTAATTTTTTTTTATAATTAACTAGAATGGGAGAAAACACATTGCTTGCTAGCTAGGCTTGGCTACAAACTATATACTAATTTTTTTTTATTCAAATTCTCTCTTTCTTTATATAATTATCTCTACAACATATATATATATATATATATGTATAAAATATATAAGTATTTTATCATATAGAAAATGCTTCAACTCGTTCCACATTTATACACTCTTCATCCATTGCTTTTCTTGTCCTGAAATTAAGAAAATAATGAAATATTTTTTTAATTAGGTTTTTATCAGGAAATATGCAATAAATAACAACATTTTTTTTTTTTGTATTTGATTGAGAATTTAAGGAAAAATAAAAATAATTACACAGAAAGTATTAAACTAAAAGATTATGAAACAACACCTAATTGATTTTTAGGGTAAATTTAGTAGTTTAATCTATTTCTAACACTCTCCTTTTGAATATTAATTAATATGACATCCAACCTATAAAATATTATAAGGAATGAAAGGATAAATGTAATCTTTTTTAACATATTCTAACAATGATGCTTTAACAAATATAATTTATTTTAGAGTAAAGAAACTATTTCATTAAAATAATGTTAGTTATCAAATTATAAGAAGATGTGTGTATATTTTAACATATTAAACTAAAAAAATTAGAATTAACATTCATTACACTTGGAATCCAAGATATTTTTAGATAATTCTACAAAGAAAAAAAAATATAATATTTCAATTTCAAAGGTAAAAAAACAGTACCAAACACAAATAAGAAGGTAACTTCGTCTACCCTAAGAATTTATACATATTATCAACTAATAATTTTATAATTTTGTCAATAAGAACATAACTGAGCTGACGTAAAATCCTTAAAGTAAAATAATAATAATAATAATAATAAGGAAAGTTTGTAGTGTTTGAAGGGTTTCATTTTTAGAATATATAGATTAAGACAATAATTATTACAAACCTGCCAACAATTAATGTTAATAATGAAAGTTTGTGTAATGCAATGGCAATGAGGCAACAACACTTAACACAAAAAAAGTTCTACATATTATGTTAATAGTTTCTTTAATTTGATCAACACCACACTAATTAATTCCATTTAAATCAACTTAATCCATATTGAAGAATCTAATGTTAATGGCTAAGGAGGATTTTACAATCTAAACCAGAAAACTAGAATATCTTAACAAATTTAAAAAGTGAACCCAAATCTATATTTGCCACAAAAAAGAGAACTTTGATATGAATCCATTAAAAAAAGGAAAAAGAAAAAAAGAAAAGAAAAGAAAAGCTAGTAACTAATAATTTATACGACAAAATTATCCACAGCAATTTCATATGACCATCAAACATTCAGACAAAAAAAAAAAAAAAAAAAAAGAACAGTGTTTAAGGAACAAAGTTCCTATATATGATGTTCCATTGATTCCGTACATAAATCAATGTGGGTTTTGTTTGGAAAATTTAGAACAAAATGCAGAGTTTTGAAGTAAGTGAAAGAAGAAGAAGAAGAAGAAGAAGAAGAAGAAGAAGAAGAAGAAGAAGAAGAAGAAGAAGACAGGAAAATTCATATCAATGTATAATCATCATTCCATTCCATCCATACATCCATTTATGGGGAGCACAAAATCGCACAGAATCACAAAAAAAAGCCCCAAAAACACCTAAAAGTTGAGAATTTAAATGATCTATTTAATTAAATCAATAATAATAAATAAATAAATAAAAAACAGTGCTTTGTTTGATTTGAGAGAGAGAGAGAGAGAGAGAGAGAGTAGAGTCCATGGTTGTTTGTGTGTTCGGGAAAATTGATGTTGTTATAAGTTATAGCTGATTGATCAAACAAAATTAAAATTAGGGTTCTTTTTTTGGAAGTGGGTTCTAGGGTTTTTGGTTTACAAATTAGAGGAACAAGTTTTGTGAGAGAATTGAAGTGAGTATTTCTGGAATTTAAATTAATTGAGGGAGGATGGGAATCAATTATTGGTTTGAAAATGAAGTGTTTGAGGGTTAATTATTGGGGTATTTTAATAATTAAATAAATCCAACCAGAATTAAAAGGACCCAGATTCCAGAAATTGAAATTAAAATTGAAATTAAAATTGAAATTAAAATTGAAATTGAAAGGGAAATTACCAGGAAATGAGAAGTGATTTGATTTTGATTTTGATTTTGATTTGAATCAAGGAAGCAGCTTGGGTTGGTTGTCCTCCTCGTTGCCCTTCAATTGGCTTCTTTTTCTCTTCTTTTTCTTGTACGGAATCCCTCTTGCTTTCGCTTGACACTCCTTCACTTCCCTCAAATACACTCGAATTGCTCCATTTCCAAAAGGGTTTGTCTCCGGCGATCCTCCGTGCTCCTCGTACGCCGCTCTCAGCCGTCCGATCAGGGCATCTAGACTGCCCCATGCTTGCCGGAGTGGGCAAGTGCAAGGGGCAGGTGGGTCAGGCTGTCCGAAGAAAACACACCCGTGTAAGTGAACCTTAGTTTTTCCGAACTGGTCCAGGTACCTCATGAATTCCACCACGTGGTTGCAGTTGCACTGTGACAGCGCAACCGGCGGCGTTTGATTCTTCAGATACTGTCCGAACGTGTTCCAGTCCCGCTTTTTCTGCGACTCGTACCGGCTTAGTGCCGCCGACGTTTGCTGCTGCTGCTGATCCGCCGCTGCAGAGCTCCCCGCCGCCGTCCTCGACGATGACCCACCTTCCGTCGAATCTTTTCTGCCTTCTGTTGACATCATCAATTTGAGATCAAGAAATTAGAGGGGGGAGAGAGAAAGAGAAATAGGAGAAGGCTACAAATTCTTAAGCAAATTTGGCTAAAAAAGAAAATAAATAAATAATATATGCAAAATTTGAGGGTTAAAAAAGAAAAAAAAAAAAAAAGGGTTTTATTGCAGTGGAGAAGAAAGATGAAAATCACATCTCGAGAGAGGACATTACATGGGGCCTATGAAGGTGCTTTTTGTTTCTTTTTTTTTTTTTCTTTTTTTCATGCCCAATTTATTTTTATATTCTTTTGTATTATTTTTCCCACTTCCCCATTTATTTATTTCCATCAACTTGCTTGCTACCACAAAATTATAATTTATTATTATTTTTAATTCTCAAAATTCCAATATAATTATGTATTTTTATGATTGTATATACATATCTATACGTACAACATTTATTTATAATTGTTATTATCATTTTAATTATCAAATGTTTTTTTTTTTTTGTTAATAATTCTGAAGTAAGTGGAAACCTGTCGGTGGTGGCTAGCTGTTAGATTTGGTGTATGTAATTAATCTTATTTTACAAGTTTTTATTTTTTTTTTAATTTTCTTTTTGCTGCAAATCAAAAGGGGAATTATACCGTTCATTGACATTAACTTCATAATAATCCCTACTCAAAATCTTTCTTCTTTAGTAAGTAACATATACGGATAATTTTTTTTTCTTAATATACGGTTGACCCAAAGAAATATACGAATTTTAACCTATAGTTTCACGATGAGTAAAAGAATAATATTCACCACCTTTGATTATTCGGATCATATGGTCTACCACTAGATTTAATATCATAAATATAATGGGTGTGATTATGAGTATCTAGTGTTTTGTTATTATACATTTTTCTCTCTCCATCTCCTTGCCTGGTTTAATGATGGAAACATTAATTCTTATTTACGCAATTAGATGTTAATGAGGATTATTAAGATACACCATTTTCTTAATTCACATTTATTAGTTTAGATGATGCTTTTTATTTTTTGACAATTACTCTCTCTCTTTTTTAAATAACGTAAATTATACATTAAACCTGAAATTAGATAATTAGGCAATAAAGTTGAACCAAATTTACAGTGAGATCCGACATCTGTGTCTCTATTAAAGATTCGAAAGTGTGAATAATGAATTGGGTACTTAAGTGGATATGGATGTCATTTTCCTCAAATTAATGATTGAGAAAAATTAAAAAAAAATATAAAACAACAACAATAATAATAATCCATTTTGCCATCCCATCCCCGGTAAGGCCCCGGTGCGGCAGAGCTGGGGTGGGTTTTGAATTAGCAAAAGTTGAGGGGCAAAATGTGAAGCGCAGGAAAATTAAGGTTGGCAAGTTTTCATAATTTGGATAAAACTGTGTCCTTACTGCGTCAATCTGTAACATTTCCTTTGCCTTTTGTTTTCCACCAAAAGTTTATTTCTGACACCTAAATTTGTCTGCAATGTCTCAATTTTCAGGGCACTCAAAAACCTTCTCTTTTTCCTTTTTCTTTTTCTAATAAAATTATTACAATTATTCTAATCCATATAAATTTAAATTTTTAATAAACATCCTGATTGAAAATATATATTTATTAGTTTAATATTTTTTATATACCGTTAAATAAATTAATTCATAAAAATAATAAATAACTATGGGCTACTTTTCTGACTTCATTTATTTAATAATTATAAATTTGAGCTTATTTCAATTCATTTTAGACATATATTCTAATAAAAGAAGTCAAAATGGTTGGAATCTCCTACTCATTTATGGTTGAATTGATTTACGATCATATTTAAACCGTTATAGATTAAGATGTTGTATGATGATTAAGCATTAATTGGTGGGATGTGGGCTAGAGAATCTAGGGTGGTAAGCGGCCTTTCTTTTTGTCTCTCTTTTAGTTTTAGTTGTTGAGAGAATTCAAACCCATTATAAGGGGATCCCATACTACTTTACATGTATGCATCATCATTACCTAAATTTACAATCATTTTTTTAAATATTAATTTATCAAATCTATACCTTTAATTGGTTGGCATCGAGTTTTTCCCTTCACTCTATCCAATAAATAAATATATCATTTCATTTTTTAATCAACTAGAATGTTCAAAGTTTTATTAGAGAGGAGGTAATTGACTTAGGGCCCTCTCCATGAATGTATTAAACCAAATTAGTTAGTAACGTTTACGTCAATAATATATGTCTGAATGTTCATATATCTCGAGAATCCGATCAATTCAAATTATATAAATTAAGTTGGATTCAATTCTTTTTCAATTAAGATTAGGTTGAATTTTTTAAAAGATTTTTCGTCAATCAATCCAACCAATTCAATTAACTTGAAATAAGATTACAACTCAACTCATCCTACTTTAGTTTTAAGATTATTACGAGGATTAAGGAGATTTGGTAATTGTAACTGATGTTAATGATACTTGAGTTTAATGAGATTTTAGTCATCAATGTAACATGTCTAGTAGATAAGTAGTTTTTAAAAATAATTAAATAAAAACTCGAAAATCTAACCTAGACCAACAAAAAAGGAAAAAAAAAAAAGTTTGGGTTGGGATGTGTTTAAGTTGCTCGAATTATCAACCTAACCAACCCAAAAATTTGTATTGGTGTAAAAGATTATTCCAACTCAACCCATGTACACTCTTTTATATATATATATATATATTAGTCCGAAGAACTATATTTGAGACTAATTTTGAGGCTTCATGTAATTTAAAATCTTCTTGAAAGGCGACAAAAAGAGCAAATTGATTATAATTAGGAAAGTTAGTATGAGAAGAACACACCTTGGAAGAATATTTTGTGATGGCCCAAGTTTATGCTGTGCGTACACGCTATTAATTATTAATTATTACACGAGAATCTCTCATTATCTCTCTAAATTTTTTTTTTTTTTTTTTTTAAACAAAATCTTCTTCATTTTTAATTTTTTTTTTTAATTTTATTTAAGAATCATTTTTAATTGCTTTCAACCGGATTCAACTACACATAATTAAAAATATCTAATAGGTTTATGATTTTTTTTTTAAATTTTATATCCGAGTAAAATTATGATTTATTATCAAAAACATAATATTCATCTACGCTTTCACTGTGGTTGCCACCGGCAACTATCACCCACAGTCAACCACCCATGTCCATCATCAACTATTACCCACCATTAGCAGCCAGCAATCGCCGTCGTAACAACCGATCACCACCACCCATTGTCGGTGACCGCCAACCTCACGCCACCACCACCGCCACATCGATCATCAACGATAGTCATCGATGGATCATAGTGTTTTAAAAACAAATTTAAACCTTGGTAATAACTTAAAATAATTAGTGTTAGGTTATGATTGAAAGAAAGAGGGAGAGAATATTAGGAGGTTTTAGGGTTAGGTTATGATGATTAGGTAATGAATGATGATATTGCTTTTTTATGTTTAAAACCAAACAAAAAGTTAAAAAAACACAATCCCATGTTTAGCAGTGAGAATTAGGGTTTAGTGAAGTCGTGAAATACAAGACAGCTTTATGTTCTAACTGTTAATCCAATAAACTATACTGTTCTTAAAGCTGCCTCTTTACAAAATTATTCCTAAAAGTAAATGAAAATGACAGAATTGGAACATAATGTTATAAGACCACTTCATTTTTAAGTTGAATTTTGTCTCCCTTGCTTATTCTTTTAAGAGATAAAAGATCCCTATATCTATAAATTTACTTTACTCTAAAATTTAAGGGTATAGTTTGGGAGTTTGAAAAATGTTAGGATGTTAAATGAGGCAAGGTTGGTGATATAAGTTAATGATGTAATTAATAATGTGGGATGCACGTGAGGAATGGGGCCATATGTTGCTTATGAATTATGGAAAAGAATGTGAAGAATCTTCACTGTTTCTTTCACCATATCTCTTTCATCTCATACTTTTCTCTCCCATTTCCATTTCCATTTCCATTTCTTTATAAACAATCAATTATTGTCAAATATTTGTCAAAAGTTCTATTGATTACCTTCATGTTTCGGTCGCCATAACTTTCTCTTTTACGTTATTAATGAGAACTTGGAAAGATTGAATTCAAGATACGTTGCTTTTTTTTTTTTTTTTTTTTTTTTTTTTTTTTTTTTTTTTTTTTTTTTT